TAAATTGAAAATAACAAAATTATAGAAAGTATATGGCAAATTATATGCTTTCCTTTATGTATATATGGTAAAATTGAAAAGATCCAAGAAGATTGTCAAATAATATTAAATTTTCTACACTGAGTACCTCTGATCTATAAACAACTTTCGGAAACTAATTTCCACCTACGCCTAAGTATATATATATATATACAAAATGAAAATGCCCTTTATTGATCCATTTGCAATTTCAAAAAAATAAAGATTCGCCGTTTTAAAAATTCTATCAAATAACAATTCAACAAAAAAAAAAAAAGATTCGGTGAATTTGAAATTTTGCCATTTAAAAATTCGAATCACTTAAAATTCTATCGAATGAGAATTTAATGCTAATTTAAAATTCAATTAAAGAAGAATTCTGTTAAATAAAAAAAAATTTTGGGTAAAATGATCGCCAAATTCTGTGTAATAAAATTTCTGCTAAATAAAAGTTTGATGCGTCTAAAAATTTTGTTAAATAAAAGTTTTACTATATTCGGCTATATTCAGAGCCTTGAAATGAACATAACCTCAAAATTTAGGTCATTTCTGGCGGGGGAGGGTAGGGGACTAGCGGCTATATTCAAAGTCTTGAAACGAACATAACCTCAAAATTTAGGTCATTTTTGACGGAGGAGGGGAAATGAGAGGAGGGAGGGGGACTTGCAGCTATATTCAGAGCCTTGAAACGAACATAACCTCAAAATTTAGGTCATTTCTGTCGGGGGAGGGGAGGGGGCTTGCGGCTATATTCAGAGTCTTGAAACGAACATAATCTCAAAATTTAGGTCATTTTTGACGGAGGAGGGGAAATGAGAGGAGGGAGGGGGGACTTGCGGCTAAATTCAGAGCCTTGAAACGAACATAACCTCAAAATTTAGGAGGGGGGCCCCCCCCTCCTAGGTCAAGAATTCTTGAAACAGCAGCGGCGGAGGCGGCGGCGATATCTTTTTGTAATATAGGAAGATATATATATATATATATATATATATATATATATATATATATATATTTTTTTTGAATTTCGAAAAGTGTAAATGTTTGCATGTAATTGGTTGGACAAAAAACTTTAAGCCAATGAAATAAAAATATTCGTACACTGAAAAAAATATGCTATTGAATCAACAGCATTTCTGCCAAATGTATAAAAATTATTGATTCAAAAGCATATGCTATAAAATTTGTAAAATATTTTATAGATTCTATAGCATATGCTTTTGAATTAATAATTTTTATACATTTGGCAGAAATGCTATTGATTCAAAAGCATATTTTTCTGAGTGTACTTTTCGAGATTGAAAGTATTTATAAATTCAATATTTCTAGTGTAAAGTTGAAGCCCGATTTTTAACAGTGCTACAGTGTTTTACAAAACGAGTTCGGTAAAATGTACCAAATATTATGGATAAATTCTGCAAATATTAAGTAGAAATACACACGGAGAAAAATGGAAAAACGAATAAAGTAACTTTTATTACTTTAAAAGTAAAATTGGACCTGTCCGAAGTTTCTGCGCATCTCTGGCAACTTTTACTCGAAAAATAGTAAAATTGACTATTTCTGTAGTAAATTTTACTGTTTCCGTAGTAATTTTTACTATTTCTGAAGTAAATTTTACTATTTTTGGAGTAAAAGTTGCCAGAGATGCGCAGAAACTTTGGACAGGTCCAATTTTACTTTTAAAGTAGTAAAAGTTACTTTTTCTTTTTTTCCGTGCAGAAAAGTTTAGTGTAGAAAATATTATACTCAAATTTCTAAACTTTATCCGCAGTATTCACAGGCACATTTTACAGAACTCAGTTCCACAAAACGTTACACCTGCTACAGTCCAATAAACCATATTTAAAATTAACTGAATTTATTTTGTTCCCTTTACCAAAAAATTATACATAACGGTTTCAAGGTTATAGTTTTGGAGACAAAAAATAAAAAAAAAATAAAAAAAAAGCTTAGGCGAAAGAGGAGTTTGTAAAAGCTTATATGGGTCAAGTCGGTTCGGTCAAGCTCGCGAGGAGGCGGTTTTCCTGTAGTCGTGTGTCCTTGAAGCTTTTTAACGAGAGTATATACCCCCGCGCAATCGTCGCGTATATGATGTGTATTTTCGGGAGCGAACTAGCCCATGCAAATTTTACCACTTTTCCAGGAAACAACAGTTTCATCGATCCCCCCCCCCCTCTCTTTCGAGTGTTTTCAACTCTTTAGCTCTCCCTCAGACCTGATTTCCACTCTCGCACCAAATTTCATGAATAATTCATATCATCGGATATTTTCGAACAACAAAAGTAGATTGGATAATATACATTTGTCATTTATCATATTCAAAAATAAAAATTTTATTATATTGTTATTATTGTCATAAGAGTTGGATAATATGATGATATAATGTGATATATATGTCTGTCCTTTTTTTTTTAATAATAGGATATAAGCTAATAAAAAGCAGGATCTATCATAATTAAGGGGAGCTCATGATTACACCCATAAAAATTATTAGAATTTTTTTATTTTAAAGCATTTTTTTTTTTAGAAATATAATTATTTTTTAGAGGAATTTTCATTTTTCGAATTAGAATTTCACTGCGAATTTTAATTTTTACGAATTTTTAAAATGCTGAATTTTCATTTGTCCGAAACTACAAACGACCGAACAAAAAATCGACAGAATAGATTGCGGCGCAATTTTTAGAATTGACCAATTTGAAATTATCAGGAATTAAAAAAAAAATTCTTATTTAATCAAATTTTTATTTAGCAGAATTATTATTCACCAAAATTTTAATTAAGTCGATTTTTTAAATATATACAAGAATTTCTAATTTAAAGAATCTTTATAGAAAAAAATTTTTATTTGCCGAACTGTTTTTTTGATTGTATTCTTAAAACGCAGAATGACCGAAATTGCAAAAGTCGGTAAAAAAACATAACCAAGAAAATAATTTTGGCGCGAATTTTAAAATAACCCCAATCAGAAATGATTTAGAAAAATTGTGATTGGTGGAATTTTAAAATTCGCACCGAAATCATCATCTTGGTTATGTTTTTCGGACATTTGCAATTTCGGTCATTCTGCGTTTTAAGAATTCAATAAAAGTTTGGCAAATAAAAATTTTTTTCCTATATAAAAATTTTGTTGAATTAGCAATTTTTGTGTTTCAAAAATTGATTTACTTAAAATAATAGTAAATATTAATTCTGCTATAAATAAAAATTGGGTTAAATTGGAATTTCTTGACACCGTAACATAACCTCAAACTAAAAAATGATTTTTCACGGAACTAAATTTAAAATTTATTTTAAATTTGTTTTTGGGGTCGCTGAATCCGAATTCGAGGTTCTTTTAACCCCATCAGATCAGAATTTTTTTCTAACCTCAAAAAACATTTTGTATTTTATGTGGGATACAATTTTTTTAAAAATATTGATGTATTTACTTGGAATTTGTTACTCGGGGGTTTTTGGGGTCGCTGATATGACGAATCTGAAGTCAGATTTTGAAATTTCAAAATGGCGGATACAATATGGCGGACGAATTGGTTAAATTTCATCGGATTCACTTGAAATTTGTTACTCGAAGGTTTTCGGGGTCGCTGATGACGAATCTGAAGTCAGATTTTGAAATTTCAAAATGGCGGATCCAATATGGCGGACTTTTTTTTTAAATTTCATCGGATTCACTTGAAATTTGTTACTCGGGGGTTTTCGAAGTCGCTGATGACGAATCTGAAGTCAGATTTCAAAATTTCAAAATGGCGGATCCAATATGGCGGACAAATTTTTTTTTTTTGCATCGGATTCACTTGAAATTTGTTACTCGGGGCTTTTTGAGGTCGCTGATGACGAATCTGAAGTCAGATTTCAAAGATTCAAAATGGCGGACAAAAATTAGAAACAAACAAAAAATACGAGCTTAAATTATATATTATAAGAAACGAAAAGCAAACGAAATAAATATATATAAAAAAAATGTTAAAATAAAACAGCGCCAAGGTCAAAAAGTCTTTTCATAAAAATTTTTAGAGCTTGAATAGGACAAGATTCTTAGTCGAATTTAATTACCCCAAGAGTCTTAATTAATGCTCATATATATATATATATGAGTTTCTGAACATTGAACACGTGTGCTAAATAGTGAACACCTGGTATATATAGTAGTAGGTAGATTTTAGTATGATGCCAAGCTATAATACAACGAGTCTATATATATATATATGAAACTGTTTTGTCCTTAAAAGTCTATTCTCACCCAACTCAATCTCTCTCTCTCTCTCTCTCCCTTATTGTCTATCGAGTGGATGAACTTTGGAAGAACCAAACACAGTTCGGCCAAACACACAGTCGAGCTTGAAACAGCCTCAAGTGAATATATCGATCAGAGGGTTTCTCGTTTGAAATTCTCCCACGAACTGAAGGAGCATAAAGAGCAGAGAGAGAGAGAGAAAGAGAAGATGGGTAAGGAGAAAAAAAAACCCGAGAGAAAAAACAAGAAAAGGAACTTTAACCTTTCTAGGACCCAGACCGGAAAAAAAGACATTTGTTTGTTTGGTTTTTTTTTTCTTTTTTTGGTGGGCTTTTTCGAGTGAATAACGATTCGTTAATGTAGCTTTATTCTTTCTTTCGAAAAGTCCAAAACAGGAAGTCGAGAAGAAATAAATTTTAGAGACACTTGGAGAGAAAGAATTCAGTATAATTTTTTTTTTGTCTAACGAACAAAAATAAAGAAAATTCGGCTTGAAATTGTATACAGTAAAAATTATTTCAAATCTAAATTCTTTGTATACTTAATTTGTTCGAAATTTAATTTAAATTTTTTTTCTAAATTTAAGTTAATCTATACTTAATTTTTCCTAAATTTAAATTGTTTTAAAAAATTAATTTGCTCTAAACTTGAATTTTTCCCACACTTTTTTTTGTTTTTAATTAAAAGGTAAATTTTCGAAAAAAAAGAAAATCTGCAAAAGAAGAGAGAGAGAAAAAAAACTCACTATTTCGCGGAATCGTTCAATTGATACTCGTTGCTCCTGCCAAAGCATTCCTGTACACCATTGTCCGCCCAAAGCCTCTTCATAGCTGCCAACAATTCTTCGCTAAAAGGTTCCGTGTCCTCCATCCGTTGAATAACGTCGAACACCATTTTTGCGTCCGTCTGCAAACCAATCAAATCAATTTTAATTCTAAAATTGTCACGTAAAATTGTTTCCCAAAAAAAAAATCACGTTAAAAGCACAAATTCAATTTTAAAAATAAAATTTCTCTTTTAATAACAATTTTTGCTTATAATTTTACTAATTTAATACTATTTACAAAAGGAAATATTTTCTCTTTTATAATTTTTGGAATATAAAAAAAAAAATTCAAAAGAGCCAACAAAATAAAAAATTTTATTTTATTTTTAAAATTATATTAAAATTTTTGATTCTTTACTATTTTTTTTTAATACATTCCAAAATTATAGAGGAGAAAAATTTTTAAATTTCGTTACAAAAATAGAAAATAGTAAGTAATAAATATAAATATTATTTTTGTAACTTACAATTTTTCTCCTTTATAATTTTTGGAATATAAAAAACTAAAAAAAAAAAATTTTTTTTGCAAAAGAGCCAAACAAACTAAATTGAAAATGAAAAAAAAAATGTGCAACTTTTAAAATTTTTATAAGTAATATGTATAAAATTATAAAAAAAAAAGAAAAGTGCGAAATTCGATAATTTCACGATTGAAGAGAGAAACAAAGCTTCCTGAATTATTTTCGCACCTGTTGCCAAGTGGGAGAGAAAGTTGACAAATCGATCAGAGAGAGAAGACTCAAGGGAAAAAAAACCGCACTTGGTAATTCAATAAAAAAAAAAAAAAAAATCAACAATCACATATCAAGCCTATTGAAAACAATTTATATTTCCCACAATTCCCTTTTTTTTAAGGTTTTATATTAAAAAAAAATTTACAACTAAGAAAAAAAACAAAAATACACCTGCCTAATTATTATAATTACTAATAATTATTATTAATAATAATTCTCATAATTATTAATAACTAATAATAATCAATAATAATTACTAATAATTAATAAATACTATTCTAATTAATACTAAATTTAATTATCCTAATAAATAATAAGCAATTATTTGTTTATTTAATAATTTGATAATTAACTATTTCAGGGTGTCTACTAAAAATCTGAATTAAAATTCCAGGACTTTTTCAGGACTTTTCAGGACTGTTCAGGACAAATTTCTTATTTTTCCAGGACATTAAATTGGATGACCTTAAGGAATAAAAAAATTTTTAGTTTAACTATTGTTTTCAGAAATTATTAAAAAAGTAATTAATCACTTAAGTAAATTTTCATTTTACTTATTTAATGAATTTTTTTTAACTTGATTGACAAAATTATAAATTTTTGAAAATTTAAAAGCAAAATATAAAAAATTCAAGGAGAAAAATATTAAAATTCCAGGACTTTCAAGGACATTCCAGGACATTTTTTCAAATTCCAGGACATTTCCAGGACTTCCAGGACTAGTAGACACCCTGTATTTTTTAAATAATTTTATATTTAGTTGGTAATAATAATAATAATAATAATAATAAATGAAGAAAAAAAACTTACTTCTCTTTCATTAGTCGAGAAACCGATTCCCAAATTGGGCATTGCTCTAAGAATTGCTACTAAAGATTGTATTGTGTTGCTATAAACGACTGGCCTGTATTGTTTAAAATCTTCCGGTGTAAACCCACTCTCGTGAATGATTCTGAAAACAAGCAAAGCGAAAAAAAAAAATTATTAATTATATCAAATTAAAAAAAAAAAATTAATTAACAATATTTTATTTCTTCTTTTTTTATGTTTTATATATAACGTAAACATAATTATTTAAAATTTATTTACATAAATTAAATCCAAATTTTTTTTATTAAATTTCAAAATTTTTTCTCATATATTAATTAAATAATAATTGAATTTGAATTAATAATTAATCAAAATTAATTCTTAAATTTAATTACAGAAAATAATAAAACATGAATAACAGAAAAAGAAAATACTAAAAATATTATTATAATCAATATCTATTAATAAATAATTCAATACAAGAAAAGATTAATAAAAAAGAAAATAATTAACAGTAAAATTAATTAATCACCAACTTAATAAGAAAAAGGTTAATTAATTTATTTTCACTGGTAAATTTTTACAATTTTTTTTTTATTTTTTTATTTTATTTTGTTTAATTGATATAAATAATTTTTTATACACCAAGAGAAATTTATTTATTTATTTGGAACATAAGGGGCCATTCATTAATTACGTAAGGGTTCTTAGGAGGAGGGGGGGGTTATAAAATCTCTACATGGTCTTACGTCGGGGGTGGGGGGGGGTTAGAAGCTATTCTTACGTAAGATTTTGTCAAGTATTTTCCATTTGTATTGTTTGTAATTAATATTTTAATTACATTAATATTGTTAAAAACTTACGTAAGAAAGGGGAGGGGTAGGGGTTCGAAAAAACTTATGTATTCTTACATGGGGGGGGGTCAAAATTAGCCAAAATCGTCCTTACGTAATTAATGAATGGTCCCTAACGGGACATGCCCTTTCGTACAAAATACTTCTAAATCTAAAAATTACAATACTTTATTTTATTTTACTAAATGATATATTTGTGTCAGAGAAAAATAAATATTTATTTGATTCAAATAAATTTTTATTTAATTTAAATAAATATTTATTTGATTTAAATAAAAAAATTTTATTTATGCCAAATAAATGGGCTACTAGGCTCTGAGACAAATATACGTTTATTTAACTCAAATATATTATATTTGGTTCAAATAAAACATTTCATTGGATGTAATAATATAAATTAAATATATATTAATATAATAATAATAATAATAATAATAATAATAATAATAACAATAATAACAATAACAATAATTTATATTATTATAATAATTGATCGAATGAATAAAAAAGTAATGTAATTAATTAATTATAATTTTTTCAGGGAAATAAATAAGAATTTTTATTAAAATTTCTAATTAAATGCCTGAAAACTTGTCGAACAAAGAGATCTTTGTTTAAAACAAAAACAGATGAATAGAAACATTCATGTATACGAAGAGGAAAAAAAAAAACATTCAGAACGAATATCTATCAAAATCTTAAGTAAATGTTTCATTTACCTTTTACTTAATTCTCAAACAGCAAAATAATGAAAAAAAAATATAGAAAAAAAATTATAAATATTAAAAAAAATGCATTAAAAGTAAATAAATAAAAATAAAGTTACAAATAAATAATAATAATAATAGTACCTATAATAATAATAATTTTAATAATATTATTATTAGGTACTATTATAATACTATTATTTTTTATTCATTACAATAATAAATAAAATTACGATATTGAATAATAAATTATTATTTATGAATTATTGATTACATAAAAATTATTATATCATTATTATGTCGCATTATATAATTATTATTATATAATAAAGTAACTTACTTCATCTGTTTCACGATTGTACTTTTCCCAGACTCTCCAGCTCCTGAAAACATAGAAATTTATTATTAGCAAAATAAGTCTGATATAAGTTTACAAAGATTTATATCTGAATAAAAGAAAAAACAATACGAATCTTTTTTTTAAATAAATAAATTTTCGTTTTGGTTTTCAAAATCAAAATTTTTCTCAAGTAAAAAAAAAAAATCGTCGAGATTCGCGTTTTCAGAAAAAAGAAGATTGGGACATTAATATTCCTTTAGTGGGAGGAAAAAAATTACAAAAAAGTAGAAAAATATTATGATAGTTATAATAGCGTTATATATATATATATATATATAAATATATATAAAAATATATATATAAATATATATAATAAATATATATATATATAAATTTTTCTCAAGTAAAAAAAAAATCGTCGAGATTCGCGTTTTCAGAAAAAAGAAGATGGGACATTAATATTCCTTTAGTGGGAGGAAAAAAAATTACAAAAAAGTAGAAAAATATTATGATAGTTATAGTAGCGTTATATATATATATAATGATTGAGATAAACTGGTACGGGATTAGAGAGAAGATTTTTTTCTTCTCATTTTTTTTTTTTTTTTTGGGGAGGTCGAAGAACCCGTGGAGAGAGAGAGAGAGACTTTAATAATATATTATCGAGAAAATTAGTAATTAACGGCGAGGCGAGGGGGAACAAAAAAAAGTGTTGGCTTATCTTTAATAAGCGAAATATGTCAGTGGATAACCGGACGTGACGTAGAAACGGAACAAGCTTTCCTGCTTACCGCAAGCCTCCCCCTCATTGTAAAAGCTCTTTTAGCTAAGTAGTTAGAGAGTATAGTCGATTTTTAATATATATATATATATAGATATATAGATGCAATCGAGCTTGTTAACGTCAAACCAATACACACACACAAACATTTTTATATAAGAATAATTTTTTTTCTCTCTCTCACACAATATCAAAAAATTCAATAATCAAATTTTCCACGGATAATATATTGACAAGAAAATGGGAAAATTTAATTATAAAGAAAATATATAATTACTGAAAAAAAAAATGAGAAATAAAAACAAGTGCAACGCCCAGAGCCAAATAAATATTTATTTGTTTCAAATAAATTTTATTAGCGCTGAATAAAATTTTATTTATTCTAAATAAATTATTTTTTATTTAAAACAAATAAAAAGGTTATTAGGCTCTGAAATTAAGTTAACTGTTTATTTCTTAAATATATATTTTTAATTCAATAAATTTTTCGAATGAAGAAAAAAATTTTATTGAGCCAATTAAACTTTTATTTAATTTAACTAAAAGTTTGATTTACTGTACAGAAATGTTTTATTTGATATATTTGAGTTAAATAAACGTATATTTGTCCCATCTATTTGGCGTAAATAAAATTTTTTATTTAAATCAAATAAAAATTTATTTGAATCAATTAATTCTAGAGTCTAATTTTATTAGGCTCTAGAGACAAATATTTAATTTCTTTGGGTGAATAGCAATAAATTTATTTGGTTGATTCAACTAAAATTTCATTGTTTCAAACAAATTTTTTTTGTAAGTGTCGAAGAAATATTTCCGTAAAAAAATTGACATTAAAGAATAGCAAAAAAAAAAAATATATTTAAGAATTATTTTAACGCAACACTTTTATTATATATATATATTCTTTGAAGAGAGAATAATGTGACAATTAATTCGAAGGAATGCAATTAAAACTTTTCGAGATTACGACAAGAAGTTTTCAGTTTATTTTGAATCTCTATACTTAACTCCTCACTGGAGTTCTAATTTTTGAGGTTTTCACACTCGAATTCCACTGTTGTGAATAAGAATAAACACAGTGGTAAAGAATTGAAGTATTTTAAGTGACTTTGCATACCAAACTATATTAATTTCAAGATGAATGATAATTGTCTGCTAAACGTTATGAGAACTCGCTGTAGTTATTTTAATTGTCTCGCTGAGATTTGATTATAACATTTCTCATCTTCTCACGCACTTTATATATATATGTATTAATATCACAATTATTTTATTTTATCACAATTTTTGTACTTTCAAAAAAAAAAAAAATTAAAATACTCTTTAAAGTTTAAAAAAACTGGTAAATTGATAAAAATTAATTATTATTAGATATATATTTGTCTCAGAGCCAAATAAATATTTATTTGATTCAAATAAATTTTATTTTTTTCAAATATATATTTTATTTGATTTAAATAAACCATTTTAAATTTTCTCCGTGTGTACGGAAATTAAATTTCAATATAAAAATTTAATTATCTGTATTAATAAAAGATTTAATTATTACCGAAATTCAATATAAAAATTTAATTCTCTGTAATAAAAAAAAAATTCGATAATCAATACTAATTTCTATAATAAATAATGAACATATATTTTTTTTTTGTAAAAATAGATTCCGCAATGAATTATTCCTGGGAATATTAATGTCAATTAAAAATTAAAAACCGGAAATTGATTGAAAAGAACACGCGATGAAAACCTGATTTTATATATTATATACTATTCGCTCTCAAGAAACGAGGAAATGATCATCGTAAAAAAAAAACTGAATAAGATAACCGGAAGTCGTAAATCTTTATTTCCACCCTTACAGAGGGATAAAAAAAATGGCGCTTATTTTTTCACCTGCGCACGAAGTGCAACGATAAGGCACAGAGTGTTAAATATTTGTTATTTGTGTGTGTGTGTGTGAGGTTATGTATATATCTATATATATGTGGCTTTATTTTTATCGCGCTAAATACGTTATATTTGTGTGACTTATCTTTCGTACAAATGCACTATTTTCTTTCATTTTCTTCTATATATATATATATATATATGTAAACTTAAACAGGTCCCCAACACTTTACTATGTGGATTAAAACTGCGCGAAACAGATAAAATTACAGATCGCGTTAAACCGGAAAACAAAAATTAAATGTTTTTTTCAAATTTATTTCTCTAATCATAATTAATTAGCGATTTAAAAAAATAAAAATCACGTAACTACTCACTAAAATTTCTACTAATCTTTAGTCATTTTTCACTAAAAATTCGGTAAAATTTACTTAATTAAATAGTAATATTATCTATATTAAAAATTAGTAAAAATTACTACCAATCACTTAGTTATTTTTCACTAAAAATTTATTTAAAAAAAAATTACTAAATCAAACAGTATTTTGGAAAAATTAGTGTTTCTACTACTAAGTATTAACGAATTCTTACTAATTCAAATTTAGAAAGTAATGAATTAATTTGAAATTAAATATTGTCATTATTAATAAATAAAAATTTTTATAATATTTACAGACGAAAAAGTAAATATCCATTTATGTCTGAGACATTTTTTGCATTAATTAGTTCACATTTTAATTACAATTGAAATATAATAACTCGCTAATGTACCAACACTTTACATAATATTATACTATATGTACACTTCACTTAATTAATATAACTGTCATCATAAATAACTTTTATATATGTACATTAAATAAAACTAGAAATTAATTAAATATCAAAGTGCATATTAAATCAATACACACATATATAAAATATCAGTACAATTACCGTTTCAAAATAAATTAAATCATTTCTTTCTGGATAAGTTTAAAATTTTTACTTTTTGTAAAAAAAATTAATTAATTTAAATTAGTGACTCACATTTTGCTTATAAATTAGTAAAATTTTACTAATTATTAGTTAATTTTTACTAATTTAAAAGCAAAAAGTCACTAATTCATTAGTAAATTTAGTACCTATTTATAAAAAAGGAACTAAATGAACTTTTTTGTAAAATAGTAAGTAAAAATAGATTTAAAAAAAAAATCGGATCATGATTTTTATCAGTCCGAAATATTAGAGTGAAATTGTAATTTCACACTAAATCATTTGTGAGTTCAATGATAGACGTGTGCCAGAAACCAAGCAGGTGGATAGAGATTAAGTTATAGTGCCACTGCAGGTAAAGGTGATGTCGGATCGAAAATTGGTTATACTACTTGACACGAGTGGCACAGGTAAATCTACAGGCACCCCAATTCCTTTTAAATATACGACCGACATTATTTATCTGTACAAATATATTTTATTTCTTGAAAACTAATTAAAAAAAAATTATTTTACCTAATGGTATTAATAATCATTAATTACTCTTTTAAATACGTAAGAATTCGTTAACTAATTTAAATTAGTAAAAATTTCTACTAATTTTAAGTAAAAAATGACCAAATAGTAAAAACTACTAATTTAATTTTAATATCTAAATTATCTGAAACAAAACACAATAATTCATAAAAACCCAACTACCTCATTATAAATATTACCTAATTTTTATTCAAGTGATTTGAATTAAATAATAAAAAATAAGTTGACAAAGAACAATTTTATATTTTTCCTTTTTTTTTTTGCTAAGAAAAAATAAACCTTATATAAATAAAAGAAATTGTGTCTCTGTCTGTCTGTTTTTGCCACTAAAGTGTAACTTTATCGCATCAAGTGTGTAATTCTCTGGAGTGCGAAACAGTTTCTATATACCAAAAATGTATGGAAGAGTTGAAACGATCGAGGCGTAGAATTCGGAATGACGTCAATTCTTATACCAATAAGCAGAACCTACATTTCGTGGGAAACGTTCAATCTCTTTATGTGCGAGAGAGGGTTATATATACGTTTAAATTTGCCAAAGAATATACTTGTCTAAATCCCCCTTGAAAAAAAATGTATTCACAAAAAAAAAAAAAAAAAAAAAAAAACAAGTATCCTAAAAAAACAAGTTTCACTGTGAGAAAAGAGAAATAAATTGGTTGTGAACTTTGTCAAAAAAAAAAACAGCATTTTTTGCGGTCTTAAAAAAATTTATTTCATTTAAATAAACGGCATATGAAATAAAATAATAATTTCTGTATTTGAAACAAACTCAATAATTATTTAATACAAATAAATATTTAATAACCGATTATTTGAATGAAATCGAATTTTTTTTCTGGAGTTGAGAAATATTTTTTTTTTTTCACAAAATAGCGATGATGACAACGTGGATATAAATTTGATAATAATATCAGTTCACATTTTGAACTTGTGGACGAAAATTTCTTTAAATATGTGTGTGTGTTTGAAATGTGATAAAAATAAATTTGCGATAAAAAGCAATATTAATGTATAGTAAAGTGGCCTTTTATATTAGAGAACATTTCCGACCTGCCTTAACTTATAACCGTGGAATAGATTTATTTAAGTAGAAAGTTTCCGAATATATGTAAGGTGTATATATATATGACCCAAATGCATCAGGTGGTATACATATACCTGTACTATGAAAAGCTATATTTTCTTCTGGAAATATATTTTATATATATATATATATATACGAACAATGAGAGCCGCTGACTTGTCGATTATAGCGTCAGTCACCGCGGAGGACACTCGATTAAGTCGTTGGCAAAAGAATTCTTAAGAGAGGCACATCGACCTTTCCTGGTTATATAGTATCAGAAAGGGACTTGAATTCTCCGAACGAAGATACAGCCAATTTAAAAAAGACGATGAGAGTATACACAAAAAAAATGATTCAATCGACTCTTCAATTCACTCGCAATAAAAATTAACTTTCTTTTTTTTCGACTATACACTATATTTTTTCTAACTTTTAATTTTAATAAATACAAAAACACATATAACTCTAAATAAATTAGAAGAAAAATGATAAAAATCAACAGAGAGTTAAAGAAAATGCAAGAGAAAGAGTTAAAAAAAAACGGAGTGAAAAAATGTATATATAAAATAAAGGAACATAACGGCGAATAGGAAGAGAGAAAGATATGCGAGAGCAAAAATAATAAGATGAGTATACACATATATATGTGCGAAAGGAAAGAAAAAAGAAATAACAGAAAAAAAGTGAGTGGAAATTTGAATTGAATTTTTCCTGGAATTGGTAAATTCAATATTCTGGAGCAGACAGAAATGCAATGTATTCGATCGAGACTGAATACAGCTGGTGTGTTCAAACGAAAATAGAATCTCGAAAAAATAGTCGAGAGAGAAGGCTTTCGTATATGTATACTATTTGCGAAAGTCACGTGACTCAAGTGTATATATATATATATATATATATATATCACTAGTAAAGAAAATTACATTTTAAAAAAATTCGTTTAAAATAATAAACTCGACACGACAAATTATATTGCTGTTTCATTCCGTGGCAATATATATATATATATAATATATGAGAGCGAGATTCTTGCCCTAGAATAAAGTCTAGTTGAATAATAATTACATAAAGTATGTCACAGAAATCAGTGTATAGAATCGTTTTTTTTCTTTCTCTCATTAAATGAATAAAAAATGATTCTAATCAGGGGTAATATAACGCTTACTAACTTCACATGGTAAAAATTCAACTATTACATAGAGTTAAGTAAAATTATAGTGTTCATATATGAAATGGAAATTTTTAAGTTAATAAGCTCACAGGTCATTTTACTTTATGAAACTTGTAACAAGATTTTTGATAAAATGAATAAATAAAAAGCCTAGCCATCTAGATATTTAAATCATATACATTTTCCTTATATCCAATATTCATTCGTGTTTTAACACTAAAAAAAAAAAAATTTCCACTTATTCACTCTGAATAATTCATATAAGAAAGAAATACAAATATTGAATTTTAGATATCCGTTTTGTAATATTTTTATTTCGATATTGAGGTTATGTTATTGTCTCTAAATCTAAAATTTTATTTTAACAAGAGCTTAACAAATCTATTTCATGAAGTTAATTTTGTTTCAATATTCGAAAAAAACATTCTTTATCTTCCCTATAGGCGGATTCATTTTAATAATTTTTGTTCAATTTCTCTCTCATTTCAATTAAATACGCCGAGTTTTTTTAAATCGAATTTTCGAATCTCACCTATTTCTATAGCTATTCGCAATTATTGAGTCTCAAAAGGTTAATCGATCTTTTGTCCCTCAAATGGACCATCGACAATTCGTTCAGCACCCATTCAAGAAACCCCCCTTTTATTTCTTTTCTCTCAAAAGAAAACGTGAAAAAAGTTATATTTACAAACAAAAATTTTTAGCTAAAATTCGTCATTACCGACTGGGGAAATCTATACACTTTCATTCGGTAAAATATTTTACGCAAGAATTGTTGATGATGATAATAATGGTCCTTTGTTAACCATTAAAATGGTTACGTATTTCATTATACGTAAAAATAGAGTAATTGTCTTTTCAAATTTTCAAAGAAAACCTTTTTTTTTTAAATAAATATAATATGAAAATAATTTCTTACCAAGTAGCAGGAGCTTAATGTCCTTGGCAGCTTGAATGCCATCCTCCTTGAGATTTTTCTCGATTTGCTTGCTACGGGCCAGAGCGGCCCGCTCTTCCGCGGACATGGCACAGCCCATCTTGCTACAGGTTGCCTTCACAAACGCCACCCCCGCCTTTTATAAAAGGGATCCGTGAAGATCCACAAAAAAAAATATCACGTAACCCACGAACACCAGAGCACCAGGCACGCTGCTACCGGCACGGCGGGCAGCGCGCACTCGACCTACGTAGTCACGCTCGAGCGCGCGAGCGCGCACGCACGCACGCTCGACACCGACTTTTTTCTTCTACCTCCGCGCGTACCACCGCGCGACACTTCCCAAGCGCCGCCACCCTTGCTTCTCTTCAGCCTACTAAATCCTTGGTCACGAGACTTACTGAAACATAAAAAATTATTTTTATTATTATTAGTATTATAAGAAGAAGAAAATGAAATAGTACAAAATCAAACAAAAGAGGTAGTCAACAGAAAATAAATTTTAAGTTTCTGGAAAAATTAAAGTCAGAATTTAAAGATTTTTGTATAATCCGGTTATTAATGGTCTAAGCTAGATGCCACAAATATTTTTTTCAAATTTAAGTCGATTTTTTTTAGTAGGAATTGACTTTACCGACTGCTGGAATAGTAGAGATGTTGGTTTTCTTTTCATTAAGAATTATTAAGAATTAAGAATAAGTTCAATTTGGAATTTAAATAATATTTAATAAACTCGAATGGTTCCTTATAAAATAAAAATAAAAAATTTTTTTCCGAAAATCTCAAAATAGAATAAAGCCTCTCTCTCCTCTTAGAGACAAATCAATAGTTACTGATAAGTTTTATTCTGAAATATAATGACAATAAAAAAAAATTGAGTATTACAGAACAAATGAAAAGGAAATATATAAAAGAAGCCCCAAAACATATAGGGGAAAAAGAAAGTATATAGAAAAGGGATTAGAACAATGAAATGATGGACGAAAGAAAAGGTAAAAATAAATTTCGTCAAAATAAGAAGTTAGCAGATTAACAAAAGGAAAAAGAAAAAAAAAAGAAAGAACCAAGGGGAAAGTTTTTTCCTATCTTCTATATATTATAAAGAGAATTATCCACTTCCAAAACAGTGAAAGGGGGCAAAAAAAAGAATGAATTCTGAATGACAATTTTTTAGTAAAAATAAAATCCAAAGAGGAGACAATCCAAATAGAATTTGCCAACGATAACCGAAACATTGGATCATTCCCAACCGGAAACAACGAACTGAGCCAAGAGAGAGAGTATCTCTCCAGGCGAATTGGTCTACTCTCAGCCAGTATATCTTTTGAATCTAATACAACAACAACAACCTGTTGTTGCTCTTCTTCAATATACAAAAAAACAAAAACTGTTGGTCTTTTAAAAAAAACCTTTTTTCACAAATTCACTTAATCCCTAAAAAATGCAATTCAATATTGATGAGGTAATTTCCGAAAAATCTGCTGAATTTTGCATGCTTCTTATCGGTAAGGTTTTAGGTTTCCTAATTATAACTATTAAAAGTCCATATCACCATGTCGCCGGAAACGTGCTAATGCCTCGGGGAAACAGTTTTTGTTCATAGAGCACTGAAGCACGCAATTCGCAAATAAAGAAGAGGGAAAACTTTCTATCCCAAGGGGGGGTTGAATGGCGACCTTATATGACCTTTTGTCTAGATAAGCATATATATTTTAAAACGAAACGAAAATAACCATATATTTTTCATGATTAGGATCATCATGATAATAATATTCACGCGCAGTTTCAAAAAAAAAAAAAATTATCCCTCTTCACAATATTAAATGCGACGTAATTTGAATTTTTCGCCACAAACATGAATCTCAAATTATACAAAGAGAAAAAAAAGAGAGAGAGAGAGACACTTAATTATCCAAGGGGTGTGAAAAAAAATTCCAAGAATTTTAAAACCGCGATAATATCTCCTCTTCGATCCGTCTCAACAATTATTTTAACTTTTAAACTTTTATAAATTTTTCTTTAAGTAAATTGCTTGAATTTTTTTGTAAAAAATGATTAAAATATCTGATTCCGGAGTTTTTTTTCAACGCACGGCATTACAATTTAGATTTGACGACAGAGAGGAATTCTATAAAAGAGACTTTATACCTCCTAATACTTGTCTATAAAGATCCGTGATAGGGGAAAAAAAGAAGTCTCCTTGAAATGAACGCATGCTCGAGTTGGCATCATGCCCAATATTCTGACTCTTCAATATATATATACAGTAATATTGTTACCCTAGAGAAAGAACCTTCACCTCCAAAGTCATTCATTGTTTCCCGCGGGCTAACTTAACATCTTATATTGCCTCTCTCCCTAATACCCCCCAAAGGACATTCGAAAATTACCCTCACAAGCAAGTTTCAATATTCTAAAATAGTTCCTCCAATAGACAACTCTCCGAGAATTTCAATGTTTGCAAGAAAATACTTTCGAAAAAAAAAATACTGTACTCGATAAAAAACAGTTTTGCAGAATATGATTTTTCTAATTCCAACATCTTTCGAAAAAAAGGGTTTGGCTTTGATAACAAAACGTTTTGTTGGTATTTAAAAATTTATTTCTTGACGGAACAGAAAATTTTTTGTTTTAATACCAACCAAACGTTGTGTTAGAAAAACCGAAAACTTTCTTCAGTGTTCGGAAGAAATTTTTCCTACGGTATTTTTGGTAACAGAAAAGATAAAACAATTTTTTAACCTTTTGGGATCAAGCATCAGAATTTACTAATCCTTGATTGTAATTTCAAAATCTAACGTTAAAAGATTGTTCTATCTTTTGTATTACCAAAAATACCCTAAATTTTACTTTAATTTTATCTTCTATTAAAAACAAATGCTTGAATTTTTTTCAAAAATTTTTTTTCTCAAAGATTCATTTAAATAAATAATGTCAAGAGAACAACTTCCGTACACAAACACCCACATAAAACACAAGTGGCGATAAGAAAAAAAAAAACACTTAAAAATTATCAACAAACTCAAATAATAAAACAAACGATCGTTTTATCATACAAATCGAGGAAATTACATATAAATTCAAATATTCACCTATAGACGATCAATATTTGTCATATAACCATTAAATTCGTTAAAACGCTTATCTCTCTTTCTCTCTTAAAGACACCATCTGCTCGAATAAATCAATATTATATATATAATTTAAAAATAAAAAGTAAATCGAAAAATTAAATTCCTAAAAAATGTCAATATATATAGACAAAATAGAAAAACTATATATATATGAGAGTTACATTTTAATGATGATAATGACGAGAATCGCTAATGTTGTATAACCATAAGTGTCTTCTATTCAGTTACATTGCAGTAAACGCCTTCTTTTGTTGTCCTCCTTTTGTTTCACTCTACATTACACAAAGTCCTCGAGAAAATGAAACAAAAGAGGGACAGTGGGAGGCATTATTGCATCCCATATGTATGTGTATACATATAAATATATATATATATATATATATATATATATATACATATACATATACTCAACTCTCTCTTGAGAAAAAGAATTTTTACTTGGAATTTGAAGTCGAAACTTGCATCTACTTTGCAAGTTGGTATATAAAAACTAACTTTTAAGTTTGCAAGATGGCTACTGGGCAATAAAAAAAAAGGTGTCGCGTGATCCTTCATTGAGGTTAAGCTGAAGTATATTGAGGTTAAGTTAACATGCAGCCTTTTATAATAATTCCTCATTAGTATGTTTTTTTTCTTCTAAACGAAAAATGTTAATTTTCATATTTAAAACTGATTTTTAAAATCGAAATTTCAAACAATTGACATTGATTTACGAAAAATAAGTAAATATTTACAGAAAAACAAAAACAAAATCCTTATCAAATCCCTCATTCTCGCACAACGAAAAGTTTAGTTTTAGATTCGAGGTGAAGATCTGGATCAAACAGTGAACTTTTCACCTGCAAGACCTTGGAGATAAAGATCGGGGGAGTATAAGAAAATGTAGACGGCTGAACAGGTTCAATAAAAGTTTGTTTCTCGGGATTTAAAGTTACTCTCTTTCTTTATATATATATATATATATATAACCAATCGATTTCCCTTTTTGTCTCTTGCAAAATCAAATAGAAAAAAAAATTTCTAAACATGAAGAAAACAACAAAATAAGAATCTAAACTAAATTCTCAAATAACGAACAATTCTAATTAAACAAAATGAGTTTTCAAAACAGATTGAAAATGTTAAAATAATGTTCCACAGTGATAAATATAAAAATTTGACTCACGAGCAAATTTCAAATGAGCTGAAAATTTTCGTCCTAAATCCCAAATAACCTGACTCAGCCGCCTTATCGAACTATTGATTGGTTTCAAATCCTTAAATTCTCAAATGCTAATCCATATATATATATTTAAGATTTGGGAACCTAAATCCAAACCCAAGATTATTTCGTAGACGAAATCTTCACTTATAAGAAGAGATTATTGATTGTATTCATTCGTAAATTTTCCACAGTTGATTCGATTGTTCCAAATATATAAAGCCGAAAAGGTATTATCAGAGGACCATTGTGAGCTATTTTTAAATTTCACTATATACGCGAAATGATTCAGAAGAAAAGAAGGGAAAAGAACGTTTAATGTTTCAAATTAGAATATAATGACACGAAAAAGTCGATTTTTTATTTGCTTCTATTTTTAGCATAAATTCTTAATATATATATATACTTTTTTAACATGAATTTAATATATAACTCAGTTTTTGCTTTTGAATCGGTAAAAATTTATAGTAGAAAAAAAATTGTATATTAATAAAATTTAACTGATTCAAAAGCAAAAAGTAAGTCACTAATTTAAATAAGTTACATTTTTAGTACTGTACTGACGTGCAAAACTGAAATACCGTAACTGGTTTTTTTTAGGTTATGTTACTCATTCTTTTTCTTTTTAAAAATAGAGAAAATTGTATTTGATTTTGATAGAAATAATTATTTCTACCTTCCATGGATCAAATTTTCCGTAATTTTAATTTCTATTTTTTTAAAAGAACAGAAATGAGTAACATAACCTAAAAAAAAACCAGTTACGGTATTTCAGTTTTACAGGGCAGTACAGGTACAAAAATAATTTTGAATCAGAACAATGTAAATTTTAATTGTTTAAAATTTCACTACTTTTCTTCGTCCTCTCTTTTAAACTAAAAAAAAGAAAGTTTCGCCCTAATTTTCCTCAAATAACAATAAATTAATGGTCAATTTATTATCAAAGAAAAAAATTGTTTTAATTTTCCAATCTTTTGTTTTTTATATAGAAAGATTGGCCAACCATTCCAGTTAAATTAGCCGATATTTATTTTTCACCACATAGTGGCAGCACTGTCACACAAACTAAATACGTATTTTTCAGTTAATTTTTCCTAATTTTTTTTTTTAAATAAAATTTATTAATTATTTTAATTTTATTTCAAATATATTTTACTCTTTAAATTTGAAATAGTGAAAATTCGTCTAAAAAAAATAGGTACTAAATCAAATAGTAATATTTTACTACAAATAGATGAAAATTTCTACTAAATTTTAGTTATTTTTCACTAAAACTTTAGTAAAAAAAAAAAATAATAATACTATATCAAATAGTAATATTTTACTAAAAATTTGTTGAAAATTTCTATTAATCTTTAGTAACTTTCCACTAATATTTAAAATAATTATAATACTAAATCACTCTCTAAATCTGAATTAGTAAAAATGTTTACTAATTTGAATTAGTAACTCACTTTTTGCTTCTGAATTAGTAAAATTTTACTAATTATTAATAACTTTTACTAACAATTAGTAAAATTGTACTAATTTAGAAGCAAAAAGTGAGTCACTAATTCAAATTACTCTCTAAATCTGAATTAGTAAAAATGTTTACTAATTTGAATTAGTGACTCACTTTTTGCTATAGAGTTAAATTTTACTAATTTTTAGTAAATGTTACTTAATAATTAGTAAAATTTTACTAATTCAGAAGCAAAAAGTGAGTCACTAATTCAAATTAGTAAACATTTTTACTAATTCAGATTTAGAGAGCAAATAGTAATATTTTACTAAAAATTAGTGAAAATTTCTACCAATTTTTAGTGGTTTTTTTTTATTAAAACATAGTAAAAAAAAGGAAGCTAAATTAAATAGTAACATTTTACTAAAAATAGGTAAAAATATTATTAAATAAAATAGTAAAATTTAACTAAAAATAAAATTTAGAAATATCTTCAATTTACCAACTAGTATCAACAATACTCAATAAAAGTTAACAATCATCCACAATTTACAACAAAAAAACGAAATCTAACGTAAATAATTTTACTAACATTTTTTAGTTAACTAATTTTTATCCCCAAAAATATCTTTAAAAGTGCCAATTTAGGATTAAAAAAAAAGAAAAGCCGCTGACTCACTACAGTAAAAAAACGACAGTACTACACTAGAGACAAAAAAAGGGTGGTGAGAAAAAGAATTTATTTCGAAAAAGCCACCATATCGGAAACCACCCAATCTATTGATTGGTTCAATTTTTCAATTTCCTATATACTCCCGGTTTCGTCGAGAGTATACAGTTTATATATATATATATTGCCTTTATCGAGAATGACCTCGAGGGGGCCGAGAGAATTTCACACATATGCAAAATTAATAGAAATGAATAGCTTAATTATCTCTTTTCTCGTCTCTAAAATTAGCTACCAAAGTGTCAATAACTGTATTACACACACATATATATCTATGTGATTAGTAAACTCCGGGGCCGAATTTAACAAACGATGCCTCTCTCCAGCAAGTCTCTCCTGCTCACGAGAATCGATTCTAATTCCGAAATACGTTGCGCACAGCATAGGCAGCACACCGTGAGAGAGCCTCCCCTTTTATGTGTGTATGTATGTATGTGTGTATATAGTAGAAGCTAGGGGCTAGAAAATATAAACATAACCAAGGCAACAGGAAAAACTCTAACTTGCACTTTGGGGGTCTTCTCTCTGCTCGTGTCGCCTATATCACCAGAATCCCTTTGCACGTGTGTACTTTGTGCCGGGGGGCCATCCGAAGACAAGGGTCTCGGATATCGCCGAGAGAGGGATAGAAAAAAAAGAGCGAGCGAGCGAGAGAGAAGGTTCTGCAATCTGCGTTTGGTCCAGGGGCGAACTGAGAAGAGAGAAAGAGAAGACTCCCGTAAGTGAGACAGAGAGGTAAGGAGAGACAGAGATGATGCTGTGGGAGGGGCGCTCGAACAAGGGGTAGGGGAAAATTCAATGCTCAACAAAATCATACTTTTTTTTTAAATTTTCCGAAAAACTCTTAGTCTCTTACATTGGAAAACACCCCAAAAACAGCGTCTGCTAGGTACCACAGTAATCGGCGCGATCTCTTCAATTTATAAAACTAAATATTTCACTTTTTTTCTAATAAATTTGGGGGATGTCCTATTTACCTCTATTTAAAAAAAAAAAACACTTTCCGTCACTGATATTTTCCGTCACCCATTGGATTTTTCTTCAAAGGGGTATGGGGGGGGGGTTTAAATCGAAGGGGGGCAATGAAAATTTACCCCTTGGGGGGGGAGAGCGATCACGTTCTAAAGACGATGAATTGCTGCCACCTTTCACCAGGAACACTCGCGATTTTTAGCGCCATACGAGTGTGGCGCGAATTTTTTTTTTTTTTTTCTATATTTACCCCCCGAATGGGGATGAAAAGTACCTTTTTAAGTGATTTCCTTTTTTCTTTTTTTTTCTTTTTTAATTTTGAAAATCAAGGAAAAATGATACAATAACCGCGCTACGCGGAGACTCGGCGACTTTTGACAGGAGCGACAAGTCGAACGCGCACTGGCGAACTGACGACAAAAGCGCCCTCTCGCCCCGCCCGACGCCGTCAACGCCAACGTCCAGGCGCTCATCGATCGACGAGAAGGAAAAGAGAGTATATACGAACGACGGGAACCACCACAAGTTCCTCCTCGTTGCATGCCTCGACGTTCCTGTCGCTGCTTGCTAGGCGATTTGCCGGTGGCGGGCGTCACGGCGCCGGGTTCTTTAATTTTTTTTCCCCTTTTCTTTAAATGTGCATCAAAATTCATGAATTTTTTCTATTTTGAAAAAAATTGACAAGAAAAATATACTAACATGGGTAGATTTAGAATTTACAACCCCCCACCCCCCTCTCTCTTTTAGTTTTTCCCTCAATTTCCTGACGTTATTAACATTTAGAGTATAGTGGCATATTGTAAAGGTGTATTATACTTGCAATACAATTTTACAATATATCTTGTTTTACACGAGGGTGCGCTAGTCACGCTAGAAAAAAAAACTACTCCGGATTTTTATCATAATGACGAAATTGGATATGTATTTTTTTTTTTTTTCTAATAACGATATTGCCGTTTCGATAATGAGTGTCATCATCTTTGAAAATTTTTATTTAAGGGGAGGGACCGAGGAAACAACCCTAAGAAATTTATGTTAAGAGGGTATCAATTTTCTTTAATTTAATTTATTTAATCATTAACGGGACGTATTTAACAATAAGCAGCTAGAATGGCTATATCCTTATTATATTAAGTGTAAGAACGACCGACACCACAAAATTTTCATTTTCTTTAATAAATTATTTAGTTTTTCTTCAAATTTTTAATTCACATGCATAATATACATATATGCATTGAAAAAAAAATTTTTTTTTGCTTATTTTTGCAATTTTTTATTTTTTTCCGCTAATAGCACATAAAATAGGTCTCAATTTCAAATTTTAGCCAAAAACATTCGTTTTTCAAAAATTTATGGCAATTTTTAATTTCTCTAATATTTTTCTTATTACACCCAGAGAAATGATTTATTTGAACCAAATAAAATATATTTAAATTAAATAAACGCATATTTGTCTCAGAGCCTACTAACTTATTTATTTGGCGTAAATAAAAATTTTATTTGTCAGAAATAAATTTTTCTTTGACTCAAATAAATTTTTTATTTCAATAAAATAAAATATATTTGCAACAAATAAATGAGTTAGTAGGCTCGGAGACAAATATACCATTTCTCTGAGTGTAAGTTAATTTTTTAACATTTCAATTTTTTATTGAAATTAAATTTAAAAAAAAAATTTTTTATATTATTAATAAATAGTAAAAAAAAAATTGTAAAATAGTTAAAAATTACTTTTTATAGTATTGGTAATTGTTTACTTATGCGGCTTTTCTCAATTTTCATCTTTTTTGATGAGACTAAATTTTTTTTTTCGACGTATTTTAGCATGAAAATAAATAATCAGATAGGGGAGAATTTATAAAAATAATATATTTTTTTTTATAATTTATATAAACTGGCAAACTATTTGTCGAAAAGATTAGAAATTTTTCGAAATAGTAATGTAGAAAAATTTCGAAATTTGTTTTGATTTTTTTCCAAATAAAGTGTTAAGAAAAATTTTTAAATTGTGTTCGATTTTTTCATTAACGTGTTAAGATAAATTTCGAAACTCATTTCAACTTTTTTCTAACCAAAAATTGGGAAAAGGTATTCGATTTTTTTTCAAATAAGATATTATGAAAAATTTCGAAACTTTGTTCGATTTTTTCAGTAACGTGTTAAGATAAATATCGAAACTCCTTTACGACTAATGAGGAATAATGAAAAAGGTCTTTTAACACCATAGAAACAATTTAGTCTAGCGATGAGACTATAACTATTAAGAAATTTTTTTAAAATTACGATTTGGTATAGATTTTTATTCTGTAGAATATTAATTTTGCAGAATTTTAATTTAAAAGAATCTTAATTTTACAGAAAATTCCCGCCGAATTATTTATTAATATGATAAATACTGAAAAAAAAATTTATTAGATGTAAATAAATCGTTTAGTTAACTATTATTAAATAAATATTTATTTGTATTAAATAATTAAATTATTTGAGTCAATTACATGATATTTGTTTAAAAAATACAGAAATTATTGGTTTAATAATACAATTTATGTAATTAAAATTCAAATTATTTGGTTCAAGTAAATATTTATTTGATAATAGTCAAGTAACCGATTATTTGAATGAAATAAATTTTTTTTAATATACGAGAAACAGTGAATTAAAAAATTTTGGTTTTAAAAATCGTTTTCATAGCAAAAAAAAAACAAAAAAACAAAAAAAAAACTCACCATTTGATGAATCTCACGTTGGACTTCTTTTTTCGCATCAATAATCAGGAAAATGATTGAATTGTTACTTTTTGCATAACTTTCGAAAATCCCTGTTTTTTTTCATTACCAGTCTTCAATAAGTTATTATTAAATCATAAACTGAAAAAAATAAATAAAAATAAAAAATGTTGTTGCAATATTAAAATATTGAGTCAATTTTACCAATTTTGTTTTTTTATATTTGATAATAAAAATAAAAAATTTTGTTGCAATATTAAAATATTGAGTCAATTTTACCAATTTTGTTTTTTTATATTTGATTTTCTATGTACCGATACAAATTTTTTGTTAAAAATTAAAAAATCATAATTTTTTTTTTTTTTTTATCGAGGTTAAATTACTTTTTTTCTTTTACAAAAAATGTAGAAATTCAAAATTATGAAACAATTTGATTCATAAAAAGTAGAAAATTATTTTTGTCTTTGACTTATTTCTCATAATTTCAATTTGCTATGGAAAATATATAAAAGTAACTTAACCTATAATTTAAAAAAAAAAAAGTTATTAATTGCTCGGCAAAATTACAAATATATTATATATTGCGAAGAATTTAATTCAAAATTCTCAGCAAAGTCCGAAACTCCTCTTTCTAACCTCCAAAGAAATTAATTTTTACCCTCTCTGTTATTTTACAGTAATTTGTATCTCCTTTCTATAAGAAAATACCTTTCAATCGCTAAATTTAAATTAAACGCAAACATAACCTATAAATTTACAATCGGATTAAAAAAATATTTTATTTTTTCTCGCCACCGAAAAACGTGATCAATTTACTGCTTTTTATTTCTTTTATTTCTTATTATAATTTTATTAAAGAGAAAAAAAAATACTTTACCTATTTCGCTGTCCTGGAAACAATTGAGATTTCCATTCGCACTGGACCGCTCTTTTTTGGACAATGCGAATATATATATGTATATATATATGTGTGTGTATGTGGAAAAGCTAGGGCTCTATGTCGCTATTAAAATATGCAAATGCTCGGTGCCGTTGATATCTTGGGAGTGAATCACGCATTCATTGATCCTTTCAGACTTGGTCTCTCTCTCTCTCTTTCTCACTCTCTTGTATATAGTATAGGTGTGGTGAAGATGATGGAAAGAAATCAGATTTAATTTCAGCCAGTCGGATGTACGATGGAATATGATGAGAGATGAAGAAAAGTTTTTTTTGATTGATGATATTCATGTTTGGATGCGAGATGACGAATAGTCCTCTGTGCAGCTGTAGAGAATTTTGTTGGTGTGCTGGTGCAAATATTTGAGATTTCCTCAGATTCATCGCGTTATAAAGTGGCCATTTTGTCATTACACCGACATCTATCGGTCACGCATGAAACTTTTTACAGTCTAGAAGAAAACTACTTTACCGACAAGATTTTAAATTTCAAAATTCGAAAATTTCGCTTTTATTTCTTTTTCTTTTTCTGAAGTTCAATATTATTAAAATGAAAAAAAAAATTGATTAAATTAGTAAATATTCCAAATAATATATTCAAACTGTTCTTAGATTTGTATTTATAATTTTCATTAAAAAAAATATATATATTTCATTGCATTTAAAATAGCACGAAAAACTTTTTTTTTTTTTTTTTTTTTTGAAATTATTCTTTGCTATAAAGAAACTTTAAATTAAGAAAATAATTACCAATACAATAAAAAAAATTTAATTCTAAAAATATTACTCTAAAAAAATATTTAAGAAAAATAATAATTATAGAATACAAAAAAAAAATTAAATTACAAAAATATTGCTTCAAAAAAAGAAAGGAAATTTTTTTAATAAAAAAATTATTTTAGATAAAAATATTAAAAATTTAATGATAAAATTATTATTCTGAAAAAAAATTTAGATACTAATAATAATTATCATTACAATAAACAAATTTAATTATAAAAATACTACTGTAAAAAAAAAGAAGAAAATAATAATTAATAAAAAAATTTAATTATAAAAATATTATTTAAAAAAGAAAGAAAATAATAATTATAAAATAATAATTAATAAAAAAAATTTAATTATAAAAATATTATTTAAAAAAAAAGAAAACAATTTTTTATACAAATAAAAATATAATTTTAGATAAAAAATAAAAAAAAAATAGTTTTAAATAATAAAAAAAATAAATACAATAAATAAATAAATAAATTAAAAAAATTTGAATTAAATTTCAATAATTTGATTTTCAATAACTAACAATAAAAATTAAAAATTCTAAATAAAAAAAGAGGTAATAAAAAAATTATAAAATAGTGAATAATAATAATAATAATAATCCGATAATAATTACCTTGAAACGAAGATCCATTTTTCGGACAAAATTCTTCTTCTAATGTAGAAAAAAAGATTCCATAATCCAACAAGTTTTGTCCATGAAATTTTTAGAAAATTATTTCAAAAATTTAAAAAAAAAATCGTCCTCTTCTCACGCCCAAAAAAAAAAAAAAAATAAGAAAAACTGCAAAACACAAAAAAGGGGTATAAATAAATATAATATAATAAATAAATAATAATAAATAAAAAAAATTAAAAACAAAAATTTTTTTAAAATTAAAAATTATTAATTATTAATTTAATTTAATTAATTAATAATTAATTAAAATAAAAATTAATAATAATAATAATAATAATAAAATAATAATAATAATAATAATAATAATAATAATAATAATAATAATTAAAACAAAATGAAATTAAACAAAAAATGATTAAAATTCAAAAAACATATACTTACGAGAAATAAAAAATTATTTTGCAAACAAAGAAATTAAAAATAAATTAGTAAAACACCATCTACAAGGTCTATCGATTTTAATATTATTTTTTTTTTTCATTCTAAACAACTATATCGACGTTATTAATACCTCACACAGAATTATTTTTTTGTTTTTTTTTTTGTTTTTCTTTTTGTTTTATGTACACACTCTCATTAAGTGCAATCGCATCTTTTTTGAGAAATGAAAATTATATCTATATCGAAACTTATTTTACGAATCCTATAGAAATTCCTCCTAATATATATATATATAATATATATTTATATTTGTTTAAAAATTTCACACGGTTTTTTTCTTTAAAATATAAATCGAATAGATTTGCAGAAAAAATTTTCTTTTCAATTTTTTTTGTTGAAATTTTCAAAAAACGATCACTTCACTATTATTTTTTCACAGATTATATTTTGAAATATACCTATTATATATTTTTGTTTTTTTAAAGAAAGAAAAAAAAATAGAGAAAAATTTTTTCGTGAAAAATGTTCGAAGCGTTTCACAATTGTTCTTTTTTTTTTTTTATATATATATATAATAATTAAAAATATATATACCTATATATATATGGTTATTACCTTCGTCGAAGAAATCATGTTTACACCTCATTTATATATATTTACACATTGGCTACTATTGTACAATAACATTCGAGTATTGAAAAATTTGTATATGTGTAATTATTTATTAATTAATAATTAATTAATAATTAATTAATTAATTAAATATATATAGTTATATCCGTTGGCAATAGCTTAGTCCAGAAGTCTACTTTTTTTTTTTTGAAGCGTTATATTCTTTTTGCTTTCACTTTTTTTTTGGTGGTTTGCTTTTTTCAAAAAAAAAAAAAAATTCTCGTTGCAAGGGAAAAAAATTTTTTTTCTTCTCTCTTTTCCCCCAAAAATCGCAAATATTCTTAATTAGAAATTTTTATTATTAACTGGTCAACGGGGAATTTGACTCAAGAATAATTTTTCTTTTTCTATTAAAAATTTAAAAATTGGAAAAAATTTTCGAAAAAAAATTATTTAAATAAAAATAATATTAAAATGAGAAAAGTTAATTTAATATTATTAATTAATTAATAATTAACATTGGAAATAAATTTAAATTCGATAATTTTTGTAAATGACATGATTTAAATTCCATTATTATAATTATTATTATTATTATTATTAGTATTATCATTATAATAATTAATTTTTTTTTCCTTTTAAAATGAAGAACATGAGCTTATATCTTAAGAACTTCTAGGATTGTCTAGTCAATCGTCGTTTTTTTACTTTTTTTTTTTTTTTTTTTCTTTTTACTACACGCTAAAAGATATCACATACAAGAAATTATTATTATGTTTAGTTCGTTATGGCTTTTTATCACGTGTGTTTTTTTTTTCCTTCGCGCCGAAAAAAAGGGCACAGGATTTTTTTTTGTATTATTTTTTTGTTTGTGTTTTTTTTTTGTTTCAATCGACTTTTGGACCACGCTATGAGCCGTTTAACGACGCACACAGTCACGATAAACAATTTTTTTTGCAAATTAATCGAGACACAGATTCGATACCAATTGTCACCTCCCATTTATTTTATTTTATTTTTTTTTTGGTAAAAAAATATCCAATTTTTTTTTGAATCTGATTTTTATTTCGTTTTTTTATTTTCAGGATGAAGAAATTTCTTTTTTGTTTTTTTTTTTTTTTTTTGATAACTTGAGATTTTTTTGAGAAAAATCTTGAGTGGTCGAATATCACAGGAAATCAGAATTCCTCAGAAAAATGCAAAGTTATCTGAAACAAAAATGATTTTTGAAAAAATATTTTTTTTTGCGATTTGTTTTTTTTAGAAAAAACTACTAATTATTATCAAAAAGCTGATTTTTAAAAATATTTTTATATTTCAAAATTGTATTTCTAATTACTAATTAGGAGAAAAATTAAAATTTTATAAAAAATTAATTCTAAGAGAAAATTATTTTTTTGAAAATAAAAAATAATTATAAAAAAAAGTATTTTAACTGTTTGAGAAAAAAAATAGTTCTATTTTCTATTTTTTTAATTGAAAAAATAATTAATTATTTATTTGTGTGTTTAAAAAATTGTGAATGGGAAGAGACGATGACAGTACCGAATTCTTTGGCACGAGTAATTAATAAACTACGTAACATTTATAATTCGAAAAAACCGCTCGATGGAACAAGCTTTTTTTGGAGATTATAAAAAATCTACTTATTAAAATTTGCAGCCGACTAAAATTTTTCAAACAGCGAGCATTATTATTATTATTATTCTTTTTTTTTTTGCTACTCTTCCTGCTCGCGCATTTGTGTCTTATGTTATGTACTCTAAGCCGAACATTGTTTTTTTTTTTATTTATCAAAAATAAAAAAATGTATGATTCTTTTTGTAATTAACGATTCATGCCTGAAATTTTGTAGAGGAATAAAAAAAAATATTTTTAAATATATTTCTTTTTTAAAATAAATATATTAAAATAAAAAAAAAAGTGAATAAATAAATAATAATAGTAAATTTTTTAAGTAGTTAATAATAATAATGTTTGAAATAAATAAATAGAAAAAAAAACAATTTTTTTTTTCTATTTAATTTCAGTTATGAATCGTTTAAAAAAAATGTCCTCTGCAAAAAAAAAATGAGGCTAATTAAGTGTAATACATGCTATTTTTTTTTTTTTTTTTTGCAATCATTCATTTGCCAATTATTTTTCGAAATTTTCCATCACAATCTAGAATTTAAAATTTTTCCCTTTTCTTGTAAATCTCGATCCCTATTTTTTTTCCCCCAGTGAGAAATGATCAATTAATTTATTTTAATTAAAATACTAAAACTAAAATAAGGAAAAATTTCATTAAAAATAAAAATTTTACATTTTTCTACAGTAATTTTAATAAAAATAAAAAAGCCTTTTTATTTATTTTTAATAAAATAAAAAAAAAATCACCGACAGAAAATATTTTCCACCATTTATAAAAAAAAAAAACAGAATTTTTCTCACTGAAAAGAAATTAAAAAAAAAAAAAAAAACAAAAAATTGTCGCAGAAAATTTTGACATTATAAATATATAAATAGGAAGCAGGACGTGCTTTGGCAGGAACAATGAAAAACTAAATGCGAACAACATATATTAAACAAATATTATAAATGTTTGTATATATTTTCTGTAAGCAGCGATAATAAAAACGAAAAAAATTAATGTTATGTTAGATTGGCGCGTTACAATATATTATAATAATTTATTACATAGATATGCGTTACGAGAAATATCTCAGAAATGTTGAGTCAAGGAGTAGGAGGAGGAGGAGGAGGGAAAAATTCTAGAATCACTGATAATTGGAAAAAGGCAAGAGATGTTTTTTTTTTTTTTTTTTAAATATGTATCTGTGTTTGTGTGTGTCTGTATGTTTGTATATTTGTTTGTGACAAGAAAACACGATGATAATGATGATAATGATAATGAAGAACAAATCAATATAAATTGATAAACCACAAAAAAAAATCATTCGCCAATATTTATCTATATATATATATATTATGTGTAAATTCGGACGCAATTTTCCCAAAAAAACCAAAAAAATTTATCCTTTTCCTCGAATACCCAAAAAAATCGAAATTTTCAAACAAAAAAATTCCTCCAAAAAAAAATCTTTGTAACGCTAAATAAAACTTTTTTTTTCGATTCTGATAAACCTATTTAATTTGTATTCTTTTCTAATATTATTGTAAATTATTGTATTTAAACGCACGCTTACTTCTAGCTGCATACGATTTCCATCATTTTTTTTTTTTTTTTTTTTCTTTAATAATATATAATATAATATACTATGTCGCATATAAAAAACAATTACTTAATATAGGGTACAAGATCGTTCTTTAGTTAAGTTTTTTTTTTCTTTCTCATAATTTTATTTCGATATTAATAACGTATTATAAAACCTCATTCGTCTTCAAAAAAAAAAAAAAAACGAGCATGGCGTTCTCTTAATCCCAAAAAAAAAATTAAATTGCGAATTAAAAAAACTTGAGTGAAAATTATTTTTTTCAAGACAAACTTGAGAATCTAAAAATCTTAACAATTCGGAAACAAGGTTAAAATAATTTTTTTTCCCCCAATTTTGATAATATTAATATTAAATCAATTTTAACAATTAATTTTAAAAATTAAATCTTATTTCAAAAAACAAAAAAAAACGATAAATTCCAAATTTTTGCATAATTACCAAAAACCAATTGTAGAAAATTTTTAATCCAATTTGATTAATCTAATTTAATTGTTTTTTCATTAAATTATTATTGACAATTTTATAATAATAATAATAATTATTAATATTTTTAATCGATAATAATTTTCATTATTATTAATTAATATTAATAATTAATATTGTTATTTAATATTAATATATTAATATTAATATTTAATAATATTTAATATTAATTAAATAATATTAATAAGTCAATAATAAATTAAGAAGAAATATTTAATAACTAATTTATTAATTAAAAACTAATTAAAATATTAATAATGTAATTAGAAAATTTTTCTCTATTATTTTAAACTTTCTAAACGTATGTCATTCAAATTGCTCGAATTTTTTTTTAATCTCTAAAAAAAACAATATTGGATTAAAAATAATTAAACAATTTTATTAAAAAAAAAAATCCGAATATAGTAGAGAATAAAAAAAAATTTATAAACGCCACCATTTAACATTGCAAAGCGTTTCTAAAACTGAAATTAAAAAAATTTTCATTATTTCTTTTTTGAAATTTTTTTCAGACATTTTTTTCAAATTTTTTAAATTCTTTATTGTAAATAAAATCTTTTCTTAAAAATTCTATTTCGACTTTGTTTTCAACAAATTTTGATTTTACTCCTTTTTATATTTTAATTTTTTCTTTATCCCCAAAAAAAATTTCCAAAAAAAAAATTCTCATTTGTCTTTTAAAATCAATTGAATTTAAAAAAAAAAATTAATGAATTATTCTCTTACCTAAATAAAAATTCTATTGAAAGAAAAAACATAATCTTTTTTTTCTCTTCAAAATAAGAAAAAAAAAAAAAAAAAAAAAATTGCGCGATATTGGGAATGAGAGAATTTTTTTTTCCTTCTCGGCGAAATATCGTCGATTATTAATTATTGAACATGGCTCGTTGTAGAGGGCAGCAGTTATTTTTCTGTTTTTTTAAAACAAATTATTCTCTTCCACTTTTTCAACAAAAAAATTCTTTTCTTTTTAGAATAAATCACTTAAAAAAAAAAAATGTGTGATTTTTGATTGGCAGGTCAGAGCGTTTATCAACATGATTTTTTTTTTTTTGTATCATATTGTGTTTGAGATCGAGTTTTTTTTTTCTCCACAAATCCAGCTGAATATTGGATGAAAAAAATCCGCCAAATGGATTTTGCTCCACACATTTTCGTTCTGTTTTTTTTTTTTCGAAAAAAATTTTTAAAAAAAAGATTGAGAACGTTATAAAAATTTGAGATCTCGAAATTGCAGAACTAAGGCGATTTTATATATCTAATTTCCAAAAAAAAAAAAAAGACAGCAACTTTTTTTTTTTTTACGTACATCGACAATTCGAAATACTAAATTATCTTATTATTGCAGATTTTTTAAATTTTATCTCCATAACTTCTTTTTTTCTTCCTAGACAATTTTTTTTTTTTTTTTTATTCTATTCAACAATTATCCAATATTCTTTTCCTGTGCCATTAAATCTTTTTTTTCTTTCTTTTTTCAATATCTAAGTGAGAATATTCAGCCCTTTGGGCGGAAAAAGCGGGGCAAAGAACCGAAATTAAATTTCTTTTTTTTTTGTGATATTGCAGTTCGGTGTTCCCGAAATCGTACACGTAGTTTTTTTGAAACGTTAAAGTGATTAACGCGGACATTGTGCACGATTAAAAGCCGAACGGGTCACGGTATTTTGTTTGTTTGTTTGGTTGTTGTTGTTGTATGTTTGTAGTTTTTTTGTTTATTTATTTGTTTTTCTTCTTTCATTTCATTTTTTTTAAATAGGAATCACAGCGCTCCGACGGCATGAAAAATCGTTCGTTGTTGGCCGGGTCCACCGATCGTGAGGCACTTTTTTCCAGTTAAATACGAGGGCACTCACCACACTCGGGCAGGTTGAAGGGGCGCTCGTGGCAGCAGCAGGGGGAGGCACCGTCAATATTGAATAATATTGTCAACAACCGCAAAGCTGCATGCTCCAAGTCCTGCATTCGACATCAAACGTACCAACTCCCTGGCGTGTGATACTGCGACTTCTAATGGCGGTCGTCGTGGCAAATTACTCGATTCTACGTAAAAAAAAAGGAGAATTTTATTCGAAAAATCAATTTAGCAGAATTTAAAATTACAAACCAAATGTATTTTTTTTACCTAATATGGCAGAATTGAGCCTTGCACAAACTGTTTCCCTCTGTTGTGGATCAAGTTGCCAGCCAACTGGTGAATTCCAAGGATTTGAATAAGCAAGAAGACTAAAGGCGTCCTGTATCATTTTCTTATTCGCCTCATTTTTGCCATGCTGTTGCCTCAATAATAACGACTGTGCGTACAATTGTCTTCCAAATTCCAACATTTTTTCAATAGCCTGTTTATTACCACCGCACAATTGTTTCTTTGAGCTCTTAGCCGTCGAACAATCAACATTCATTCCACAATTTCCATTTTGTTGTTGATTGTGATTTGTCGTATCGATTTCTAAAGAAAAAAAAAAAAAAATCATTAGCTAATTTAATTAAATTAAAAAACTAAACTAAATTAAATAAATAAATCGAAAGAAATAAAATTATATAATAATAAAATGCTTGGTCTGTCCTTCTGTCCTAACTTGAAGTTGGTCTTTTATGATTTCACGTGTTTTTTGAATAGTAATCTTATGACGTGTCAAATTTGTGTCAAATTAAACTTGAAAATTTTAGAAATAATTAAATTTCAAAAGATATTGTTAATTTTCAAACAATAATAAAATTTTACAGAACTAAAAATAATTTATCAAAAAATTTTTTGAAAAACATTTTTTAAATTTAATTGAATTTTCAAAAGATTTAAAATTGAGATTTTAGAAATTAATTGAACTTCAAGTGATTTTAATTAAAATTTTATATGATTTCACTAAAAAATTTATTAGAAATTACAGACAAAATACAATAATTTGATAAGCATTTTTAATTGAAAAATGGTTTCAGATAGTTGAATTTTCAAAGAATATTATAAAAATATTTAAAAATAATTGAATTCCCTTAGAGTTATAATTGAAATTATTAAATTTCAAAAAATTTTCGATGGAAAATTTTAGAAATAATTAAATTTTAAATGCTTTTAAATTCAAATTATTGAAAATTCAATTAATTTTGAATTCAAATTTTTTAGAATAATTAAATTTTCTTTAATTTTGATTTGAAATTTCGGAAAATAATTAAATTTCAATTAAAATTTTGGATAATAATTCATTTTTAGTTGATTTTTTATTGAAAATTTTAATACTTAATTTTAAATTGAAATTTTAGAAAATAATTAAATTTTATTTGATTTTAAATTTAGAAAATAATTGAATTTTAGTTGATTTTGAATTGAAAATTTTGAAAATAATTGAATTTTCTTTGATTTTGAATTAAAATTTTGGGAAATAATTGAATTTTAATTGAAATTTTGAATAATAATTTAATTTAAGTTCATTTTTTATTGAAAATTTGGATAATTAATTTTGAATAGAAATTTTAGAAAATAATTGAAGAATTTTATTTCATTTTAAATTGAAAACTACGAAAATAATTGAATTTTAAAAGATTTTGAATTAAAAATTTGGAAAGTAATTGAATTTTCTTTGATTTTGAATTAAAATTTTGGGAAATAATTGAATTTTAGTTGATTTTGGAATTGAAATTTTGGAAAATAATTGAATTTTTGTTAATTTTCAATAGATAAATATGGAAAATATTTGAATTTTAGTTGATTTTAAATTAAAATTTCGGATAATAATTGAATTTTATGTGATTTTAAATTGAAAATTTGGAAAATAATTGAATTTTAAAAGATTTTGAATTAAAAATTTGGAAAATAATTGAATTCTCTTGGATTTTGAATTGAAATTTTGGAAAATAATTAAATTTCAATTACAATTTTAAATAATAATTCAATTTTAGTTGATTTTTGATCATTAATTTTGAAATGAAATTTTAGAAAATAATTTTATTTTATTTGAATTTAAATTGAAAATTTGGAAAATAAGTGAATTTTAGTTGATTTTGGAAAATAATTGAATTTTTGTTAATTTTCAATAGATAAATTTGGAAAATATTTGAATTTTAGTTGATTTTAAATTAAAATTTCGGATAATAATTGAATTTTATGTGATTTTAAATTGAAAATTTGGAAAATAATTGAATTTTAAAAGATTTTGAATTAAAAATTTGGAAAATAATTGAATTGTCTTGGATTTTGATTTGAAATTTTGGAAAATAATTAAATTTCAATTACAATTTTAAATAATAATTCAATTTTAGTTGATTTTTGATAATTAATTTTGAAATGAAATTTTAGAAAATAATTTTATTTTATTTGAATTTAAATTGAAAATTTGGAAAATAAGTGAATTTTACTTGATTTTGAATGGAAATTTTGGGTAATAATTGAATTTCATTTGATTTTAAATTGAAAATTTGGAAAATAATTGAATTTTAAAAGACTTTGAATTTAAAATTTAATAATTTGATAATTAATAATCTGAGGCCTATAAACATATAATTTTTATTTTTATCATTTAATATGGAATAATATTCTAATAAATTTAAATAATTATTGATAATATTAATTTTTAATTTCTCTATAACAAATAATGAAATACTCAATTTGGCGCGCTTGCGCGCGTTTAATATTGCTAGTTAATTAAATAAATGAATACGAATTACCCATATCGACGTCCTCGCCATTTTGACATTTGTAGCCATTTGTATTATTTTGGTTCCCATTTTGATAGCCATTGGTGTTTTTCACACCGTTTATAACGGTATTCTCCTCCATTTCAACGTCGTCTTCAATTTGGCCATTAATAAATTGTTGTTGCTCGGGAGCACCATTAATGGCATTATTAAGATTCATATCCTCAACGTTGCCGTTCGTCGAAGATTTTGTATAGGCTTTGGTGGATTGTATGACGCTCGTTTGGTTTTCGCTGTTACTCAAATAAACTTCCGAATCACTTCCATTTACCATTTCAACAAATTGACGACACTTGAGCGCAAATAAAAGATTTGGGTCCCGTTCCAGCAGGCCCGGGTATAATCGACTTGTTAATTCTATCGCCTCGCCCATTCGTCCCGCCAGGACCAATTTTAAAATTTCTAAAAAAAAAAAACAATTCGCTGAATTTATTTTCCTTCTTTTTTTAAATTTAAGACCGTATTTTTAAATAAAAATAATTTTTATAAATTAATTTCATTAGCTGAACTAAATCAATATAATTTATAGAATTTTTTTTTAAAATAATAAATTGTTTCTAGAAAATAAATTTTTCAAACTCACTTTGTCTATTTTTTATCGAATTTAAATCCTCTTCGAACACTTGTCCTGTACTGCTGGCAAAAGCTTCGGCTGTTGCGCAATATCCATGATGAACAAGGTACGTAGACACCATTCTGAAAAAAAAAATTAATTCGATATTTAAAAATATAAAAAAAAAATAAAACCCGTATTTATCATTAAAAAAAGAAAAAAAAAATTATTCCCCAAATTAAATTAAAGAAGAAAAATTGTATACTTGTGAAGAACTGCTTGCCAGTGTCCTTGGCCATGATCTGGTGTGGGATAATTAATAATCTGTAATCTCGTTCGAACTCGAAGTTCATTCATCATATCACCAATATCAAAAACAAATGGTTGTTGGCCAAAATTTGCATCAACCACTTCGCCTGGCGTTTGTAGTCCAACTGTTGGATAAAGATTTGGCTGCAAAAAGAAAATATTATCAATTTTTTTTTTTTACAAATTTAAAATAAATTAAACAGCAAATATTTCTTGTAAATATAATATTCGTTTCAATAAAAATTTAAAACAAATACTTTTATAGAAAAGAATAATAATGATAATAATAATAATAATTTTTATAAAACAATAATAATAATAATAATAATAATAATAATAATTTTTATAAAACAATAATAATAATAATAATAATAATAATAATTTTTATAAAAGAATAATTTTTATATCAAAATTTATATTGAAACGAATTTTTATTTCAACGAATTCTAATTTAGAAAATTTTCATTTAAGATAACGGACCGAAAAAATTTCAACCCAACAACGAAATTAGTGTTGTTTATTGTTATGTAAATTTAAAAAATTAATAAACAAAAATTTTGTTGATAATTTTTCACATAAAACTCGAAATTCTGAAAGAATTAAAATTTGAACTTCTTTCATAATTTCAATTATTTTTAATTGCTGATTTTTTTTTAAGCAATCGTCTGGATTTTGAAAATTTTTTAATTTTTTTCCAAAAATAAAATTAAAAATTCGAATTTAACCGAATATTAATTAATTAATTTAGCAGAATTTTCATTCAATAGAATTTTATTTTATTCGAATTTTTTAAATTTCAAAATTTAAATTCTACTGAATTTGGTTAAATTAGAATTTTTTTTAAATAAAAAGTTACTAATTAAAAATTCGGTAAAATAAACAATTTTGTAAAAAAAAAAAAAATTTCAGTACCTAAATATTTTGTTAAGTAAAAATTCGTATTAAGAGAAATTCTATAATTTAAATAATAAAAATTCGTCTAAAAAATAATTTTATATCTAATAAAATTCTTTAAAATAAAAATTTTAATTCTTGATTTTTATGATAAATTTATGGTGATTATTCCATAAAAACATGATTATTCCATAAAAATAATTAGAATTTTCAATTTAAAAAATTTTATTGAATTTGTTTTCTCGAATTTTCCTTTAACAGAATTTATTTTTTTTAGCAAATTTTTACTTTAAAGAATTTTTAGATAATTTTTCTTTGGTAGAATTTTTATTTTAAAAATTTTTCTCTTTACACAACTTTTTATTTAAAAAAAATTCTAATTTAACCGAATTTTAATTTAGCAGAATTCTCATTAATTTTAAGTGCTTCGAATTTTTCAATACTAGAATTTCCAAATTTTACCGAATTTTAATTTGTCCAAATTTTTAATTACACAAATTTTTATTTAATAGAATTCTACAAAATTTTCATTCATCCAAAATTGCAAATGTCCAAACAAGAAAAAAAATCCGACAAAAAAAAATTTCGGCGCTATTTTCAAAAAACCAACCACAATTTTCTCTTGACAATTTTCTGGTAAAATTTTAAAAATCGCATTGAAATTTTTCTATTGATTTTATAGTCGTTTGCAAATTTGTAAAAATAAATATTCGTTGTTTTTTACAATTATATCCAATAATAATTTGTGTAAATAAAAATTCGAAAAAATTGAAAATTCACTGAATTCAAAATTTGGACATTTAAAAATTTGCAAATTTAAAAATTCACATCACTAAAAATTAAAATTAAATTTTCTCTTCATTGAGAATTTCGCTAAATTACAAATTCGATTAAATTATATAATTCTTTTAAATAAAAAAAATTGTGTAAAGAGAGAAATTTTGTAAAATAAAAATTCTACCAAATAAAAATTACCAAAAAAAAAAAAAATTCCGTAAAGTAAAAATTCGTTTCAAAATAAATTTTGTCAAATTTTAATGAAAATTCGACAAAAAAAATATACCAAATAAAATTCTTGAAATTAAAAATTCTAATTGATTTAAAAATTAATTTTTTTTGGACTATAATTACTTTAAATTTATTTAAATGTTTAGGCCAAATTTTCTATCACCGAAAATTTTATAATTTTTTTTTTTTTTTTATGTAATAAAATCAAAATCTGATTATTTTGATTATAATTTACAGCATCTTCGGTTGAGAAAATCTTGCGAGGATAAATTGGTTATATTATCATCATTATCATCATCTTACGGGTAAATCTGTGAATGCAATGCCGAGATGGTGTCCGTTCTTGGTGTAAAAAGCAGTGTTGTCAACAAGATTGACACCACATCCAATAACGTCACCAGTTGTAAATGTAGGCCCATATGGTTGGCCTGTGCCCGAGGCGCAAAAACTGTTCCCGTCGTCACCGTGATAACCATAAGAATGTTTATCCCAACCTGGGAGTCGATTAACATTAACACCATGTGCTGAGAGGCCTATTCCCATATAACCGTCACGGCCTTTGCTCACAATCTTCACCTCAAAGTAATACAATCCACATGCTGCTGGTATTGGATGCGTCGTACGAACACTTGCAGCGTCTTTGTGTGTCTTCCCGTAACCTGAATGGATTACAAATCATTCTTTAGTTATCTCTCTCTCTCTCTCTTTTTAATTTACAGTTCTACTCAACAATTCCTTTCTTGCATTGCACAAACACAATATATATATGGTATTTTGCTGCAAGAAAAATTCAAGTGCACTTGCATTTTTTTTTCTTTTTCTTTCAGCAAAATGAAAACAAAAGAAAATATAAATATAGAACATAGGAAAAGTAGGATTTTATATTTTTTCGGGTATTTTTACAAATGGGCCAATGAATTATTAACAAACGAAAATTTTTCCATTGAGAGGTAATTTTTTTTTTCAAAAAAAGGTTTTCTTTTTTTTAATTCTGCTGCTAATAATTATATTGGAATTAAAATCTTATCTACTTTTACACAAAGAGAAACTTTTTTAAATTAAAAAAAAAAAAAATTATTTCATTCAAATACTCGATTACTTGACAATTATCAAATAAATATTTACTTGAACCAAATAATTTTTTATTGAATTAAATAAATTGTATTTGAACCAATAATAATTTTTCTGTATTTGAAATAAAAATACAATTTAATTGACTCAATTAATAATTATTTGATACAAATGAACATTTGTCAAGTAATCGAGTATTTGAATCAAATAAATTTTTTTTTCCATTGCGTTTATTTGGGATAAATAAAATTTATTTGAATTAAATAATTTTTATTTGTTATTTTTTATTTAATTTTTATTTGTTTAAAATAAAAAGAATTATTTAGCAGAAATAAAAAGAATTATTTAGCAGAAATAAAAAGAATTACTTAGCATAAATAAAATTTTATTTAACGCAAAGTAAATTTTTCTGTTCAAATCAAATAAAAATTTATTTGAAAATTGCAGCCCTGATTCAAAGAAATAAAAAAAATAATTTGCAAAAAATATTTCAATGAAAATAATCAAATTCTATTCTTTTTTAAATTATAATTCTAATTATATCGAATTACTTTCTTTTTTTTAAATATATAAAATTATTATTATAATTATATAATTACATCGATATTAATAATTTTATTTAATATTATTATTTTATATTTTTTATATTTTATTAACAATATTTATTTGAATAATAAATATCAAAAAATTATTATTATATTAATAATTATTAAAATTATTATTATATTATTTATTATAAAAATATTAATAATTATTTAATAAATAATAAATTCTCTCGCTTTTTATTTTTTCCAAATTTTTTTTTCCTCTACCAACTCAAATTTTTAAACCTCAAACTTGACAATTTTCGAAGGTAAAATCGAAAGCGCAAAAACTTTTTCAAGCCTTTTACACTTTTAATTGACCTACTTTCAGATTTAAATGCAAAATAACATTTTTTGAAAAAAAAATAAAATTGAAAATCTTGCTCATTCAATTAAATGGACATTTTATAAGAAAAAAGCAAATATCAAAGTATTTTTTTTTTAATGAATAAGCAGAGATGAATAAAAAATTACTAAATGCCAAAAAAGAAAAAGAAAAACGTCGAATGGAAGGTAAAAAAAAAGAAAGGGAAAGAAAAAAAAGAAAATTAATTCTTAAAAGAGGAAAATTATAATAATGTTAATAAAAATTGATTTTTTGGTCCAATTGCGTATTGAACCATTATTCTATATAGCGATAGGTCATGCACGCATGTGCCTTATCAGTGATTTTATATCGTAATGCAAATCCAAACTTGTATATTCTTTCGATAAGATATACATATATATAATTTTATACATTCTTTTTATATGAAAAAAAATCTCGTTTAAAAAAAACGAAAATGAAAAATGAGCAAAAAAAATACACGGAAATATATAATGAAAAATAAAAATTAATCATAATCTAATGTTCACGTGGATTTGAAAAATCATGTTAAATGGTGACTTACAGGTGAACACGCGGAGACAGCTAGAAAATAGGTCAGTAGGTCGATTCGCTCTGACGATGCGATGCCACGAAATTGCACACACAAATGTCCAATATTTTTTTTAATTTCCCTCTCTATTGATGCTTAATTATATATATATATTAAATGTCATTATACTTTATCGCGAAAATAGAGAAAAATGGTTAAATTATTATATTACATTTCAATTAATACAATACAAAAAAAAAAAATTTTTATTTTATTCAAGAATCAATGATAATTATGTTTTTTTTTTGCAAAAGGGTCAACATTTTTTATTTTAGTAATAAATTATTTTTTATTATAAAAAATAGTAATAATAAATAGTAATTAATAAATAATAAATTTTTTTATTTTATTATTGTATTAAATTATTTTTATTATAAAGAATAATAATAATAAATAATAATTAATTAATAATAAATTTTTTTTATTTTATTTTAGTATTAAATTATTTTTTATTATGAAAAATAATAATAATAAATTATTTATTATTCTACTATTTCACTATTCTATTTTAATTTTTAGTTTTGTAATTAAGAGGGCAATTAATATGTAAAAATCCAAAGAGATGTACATGGAGAGAAATAAATATATAATAATAATAAATTATAATCAATTATTAATTAATAATTAATAATAAATAATTAATAACAATATTAATAATAAATACTAATAAAATAATAAAAACTTATTTTTAATTATAAAAAAATATTTTTTTTTTAACAATAAAATTTTTTTTTTAAATAAAAAGTTTTTTGAAAAAATTTATTTAATTTTTTTCACAGGTTTTTTAAGATTTCAAGGTTGACTGCGCCTGTACATTGTATGACATGGCAATTTGATTCAATAAATAAATAAATAAAAAAATAATCAATAGAAAAAATTATACAAATATTGCCTTGTAAATTCATAAAATTAATAATTAGATGAATAAAAAAAAAAAAAAAAATACAAAAATAGAAAAAGAAAAATTTCTCTATAAAAATTTTAAAACGAGAAATTTTTTATTTCTTTATTCCGTGTGAAAAATATGTATATACTATATTAAGAACAATAATTCTTTGGTAGCGTTAGAGAAAAATTTGTATGACCTTTAATATGAGATCATAAATTCAGTAAATTGCGTGGGTTTTGAAAATTCAAGGATTCTCCTTTATTTTTTGTCACGTTTCAATGTATATAGAAAAAAAAATGGAATGAAAAAAAAAAACGATAGAAACATGGTAAACTCAAGTTTTTTTTATCAGTTACAATATCCCCTTTTTCAATATATATATATATATGTATGTATATTCCAGAATATGGTCCTATTTGAAGCTGTTCGGTCTCATCGATTTCCCTTAAGTCACCGACCTCCCTACAGAGAGACGAGACAAAAAAAAAAAAAAAAAATAAAAAAAATACCCCAAGTTTCCATCTAATTTAGCAAAATTTTAATTATAGATTTTGTAATTGCATTTATTTTTCTTATATAATAAATAAAAAAACAAAAAAAAATTTTGCAAAGAAATTTATACGATTAATGAAAATTTCAACACGAAATTATTATTATTATTATTATTATTATTATTATTATTTCATTTTATAATTATTTAACAAAATTAAATTTTTCTAAAAACACTGAAAAAATTTTTTATTTGATTCAAATAATCGGTTACTTTACTATTATCAAATAAATATTTACTTGAACCAAAAAAATTTTTTATTTTAATTAAATAAACTGTATTTGAACCAATAATTTATGTATTTAAAACAAATACAATTAAATTGACTCAAATAATAATTATTTAATACAAATTTATTTATTTATTTAATAAAATAACGGGAGAAATAAATATTTATTTTCTAATAATCAAGTAATCGATTATATTTGAATCAAATAAATTTTTTTTTCAGTATAATAATAATTTTTGTTTAATATACTTTTTCTTTTGTAATAATCCATTTTTATTTATTTATTAATTTTTTTAAAAACTTTGATGTTTCTTTTTTTTTTACAAAAAAAAATCTATTATTTATTTAATTTTTTTTTATTTTCAAATTTTCAGCCTTGAATATTAATATTTTTTTTTTTTTATTATTATTATTATTTTCGGAAATAATAAATTAAACAGGAAATTTCAATAAAATTCGAAAACACCAAACCAAAATTTATTACATTATATACATAAATATTCATTAACGGAATATTGTAAATCAAAACTCGAGTTGTTGTTCAATTGACACAAGTGGATAAATTGCAACTTCAAACAAGCAAAGCTTCATTTGGGGGACAAATCCCACTTTGCCCTGTTGCAACTGTAAATAAATTGTTTACGACAAACAAATTCCAAAATTTGTCTTAAATTCATTTAACAATTTTCCAAAAGTTACATTCTCTATAATTCACTAAAAAATAATACATTTAATTAACAAATTATTTTATAAAAATATTTCCTTTTTTTATTATTATTAAATAATAATAATAATAATAATAATAAAAATAATAATAAAAATAATAAAAATAATAAAAATAATAATAAAAATAATAATAATAATAATTAATAATAACAAAATTATGATCACTCCTTATAAGGAGTGAAAAATAATAATTATTTAACGCATTAATAAAATAATTTTCAATCAATTATAAGTGTTAAAGAAATTTTGGAATTTTTTTCTGAGAGGGGGGAGGATAAAAAAAAAATTAAGGCAGTTTCCTTGTTATGAAAAATAAAACAAAATTAAGGGGTTTGTCCAGCTAATTTATAAATTAAAAGCGCCACTTATTTAGGAAACGCATAAATTATTCCATATGCCAAAGTATCATTCGTTGATAATTCAGAAATCTATAAAAAAAAAATTACATTTTCAAATTTCCAACAAAATATATTACTATTAATTAATTAAAAATTTACTTAAATATATATTACACTGAGAAAAAAAATTTAGTCTTTCCAATAAAATTGTTTGTTTAGGGAATTTTGGTTCTTATAATCAAATTTTGGTTGGTTGAAACAAAATCGTAGAATTATATCTCAACCAAAAATTTTTTGGTTAGGCCAACAAAATTATTTGGTTGAACATTTTTTAAATTTCAACTAAAATTTGGTT